CACAATAAATTCTTTAATATTTGCTATACATAAATTTGATTGAATAAGTATGGCCGACAGATAACTGCAAACAAAATCAACTATGTCGATGCTTTTATAGAGTTCACGTTTTATATTATTACTGGAAATTGTTGATAAAAATTTGTATTTGAATCTAAAAAATAAAAAAGAAAAGGAAATTTATTATTTTTAAAAGTTTTTATTAATAGAATTTATTTATTTTTTTTTTTTTTTGTTAGCAGACAAATATTCTGAATCATTTTGATTTGACGTTTGTATATATGCAATCGATTTATATTTATGCAGTAAATTTACTTTGATTGAACTATTTGGAAAATATATTTTAAAACAGTAAAATCCGAATTTAATTACTACTCAAGAATATTCTAAATTAATACTAATATTTTGTAATATTGAAATAATAATGGAAGTTGATGATTATTGTCATTCTTATTTGTCATTTTTTTTTTCGAAAATTACGTTATTGAACACATTTTTTAATCAATGATAAAAATATTGTTGCGATACAACTCTGACGGTACCACACCATCACTACTCCATCTATCGGATTTTAATTTTATATAAATCCGAATTTTATATTTATTAGGTAAATTTTTCCAATCACTAAGAATTATTTATTAATAAAAGATTAACAAGTTTGAAATTATTATTCATATGCGCTATACTTAATGCTTTTGTCAGATTAAAAATAAAAATTGTGCTAATATTGCTTTTCAAAAAATATAATTAAATATTATAATGTTGCTATTTAGTTTAATTTAAATTTAAAAATTTGCTTCAGTAATAATAATTTCTTATTTTGTAAATAAAGTTTTGACAAAGTATGAGTACGTACTCATTAATGAAAACTCACCTGTAATAAATTGAATGCCGTCATAATGTTAATTTATTTGCGATTTTTAAAGGTTAATTATCTGTTGCTCAAATTTTAAAAAATTTTATTTTTATTTGATGCTGATATTCTAATTTTTTCTTTGTTTTTAAATATTTCAATTCTGTAATATATATTAGCAGACAGTTTACGTACATTAACCAAACACTAATTGAATTTTGTTTTTATTATTATTTTGTTTTTACATAACAATTTTGGAATTTTACCAAATTTTTCATTTTATGACACAAAACGTGAGAACAAAAATAAAATTAAAAAGTTAAAATAAGAAAATTCTCTTGTTTGAATTTTTCCGAACAGCTGTGATTGTTTAATTTTTTGAAATTAATATTATTATTGTCTCTTTCATTGATTATACTTTTAAATTATATTCTTAGAATAGAATTAGAGTAAAACAAATATATTATTTGAAATCTATAAGATAGAAAATTTTCCAAATTTGCAAGCTATATGATAGATTTAAAAATCTTTTAAGAAAATATAGTTAATTAGATTTTTTTAGTTGATAGAGATTTTTTTTTATTATTGATAGAGAATTTTTTAAAAAAATTATTGAATTCTAATATTTGAAAATTTCTAGAAAATTTTAATCAAAAAATAAAATGAGTTTTCCAATTAATGAATTTTATAATAGATTTCGTGAATATATTGAGAAAGATAAAAGTGAGTGTATAAAAAAGTAGTGCGAAAATATTGTTGTTGAAGAATATTAAATGTTCAATTTTTATGTATTTACAAATAAAAATCAAAAATATTCTATGTTTTTGAATCAGTTCAATTAATAATATAATTCATTACAGAATTTACAACTACGTTTACTGATAAAGTCAATAATAGTAACATAATTATTGGTAAAGATGGCGCTCGCTTAATGTATTTATAATTCTCACGTCATAAGTATGTGTATCATATTTTATTTTTTGATCTCATAATATGACATTTTGATGTCATAAACAAATGTAAAGGTATAGGTGAAATAAAATGAATTTGATTTTTTTTAAGTTTTCAAGCTTGTACACCTATTTTGAAAAGAAATTTTTAAAAATATTCAATTATAATATAAAAATGCTTTTATTGTGTAGAAAAATCTAAGTAATTCTAGGAAAATGCTCTCAAAACTGAAATTTCAACAATTTTATGTCAAGAAAATGCTGTCCAACTGCATGATGTCGAACAATTTCTAACACTATAATTTTTTTTCAGTAATTGCTTTTATATAAAAATTTTTTAAAATTCAAAAAAATTCTGTCCAACTGCATAACATCGAACAATTTCTAACACTATATAATTTATTTTTAGTAATTAATTTTAAGTATATAAAAATTTTTTAAAATACAAATTTTACTTAAAATAGAAAACATTTTCGCATTAATTACTACTTACTTGTAATGTCATTAAATAATTCTGCCATTTAAATATATTTTTTGGCACGCGTTGATATCAAAACGCAATCAAAGCGAGATGTCAGAAAACGCATCAAATGTCAAATTGTTTGTGTTATTATAATATTTACAAAGATAATAGAGTTTAAACAAATCAAATATGCTGCATATGTCATTGTATGAATGCAATGTTAAAAATGAAATAAAAACATTTTGAAATTAAATGAATTATTTTTAAACCACATAATTTTTATATTTTTAAAATAAAAGTATTTATTATGTGATTTATAATTGAAAATAATGTTCAAATATAAAAATAAAATTCAAATTAATTATGTACTTATGTACTTATGTACTTAAGTATTTTTATAATTATACAAAATATTAAATATGTATATCGTTATTTCATCAGCTAATATTTTTTTTTGGCTATCTTAACATTGATAGAATTAAAATTGACAAAATTTAGAAATGTTGGCATTAAATATTTGACAGTACTTCTGTATATAATTAATATATATAGAATATGCACATGAATTTCATATTTACATAGTATATATATATAAATTTATTAAATTCATGTCCAACAAATTTTATTATAATTTGTTAATTTTACAATATTTTGCTTTGATATAATTAAAAAAGATGAAACAAAATTAATAAAATTTACGAGAATATTATTCTTTTCTTTTGTAGTTGTCTTATACATATGCATACACAGTATATGTATTTAGAATAATATACGCTATATTTTAAAAAATTTTATTGAAATTATAAAAGTAAAAAAAAAGAAAAATATTCTTTAAATTGAAATTCAAAGGTTAAGAATGAAAAAAACGCGTTTTACCAATAGTAAAAAATATAAAGAGAATTTTATTTCACGTTTAATACGGATATCATTATCAAGAGAAATCGGTTAGATAAAATACATTTCTGTTTATATTATAAGTACTGTGTAAGATTTATTTTTAACTAATAGTGTTTTCTAGATGTATATAATACGTGGTAGAAATTACTAGAATCTTAGATAAATTAAAAGTATTTTAATAAATTTTAAATTTTATGGTTCTCATTTTATTATTTAACAGCAATAATAACAGTAAAACAAATGAAATTCATTAATAGGAAAAAATAACACACTTTTTTTTGTTATGCCGCAATGCGTTTTACAAAAATTTCTTCTCAATTTTTTTTTTAATAAGTGTAAACTCAAGTTTAGCATTGACATTGACATTGCTTCAAATTAAAATTTAAAAATTAATGAAATTAATACACAAATTTTAATATAAAAACAAAAAAATAATGGTGAAAAATTAAAAATTGTTAGATAAGAAATATTTCAAAATTTTTAATATACTTAATATACACAAAAAGAAATTGAATTTATAATTTTTTTTGAATAAAAAAAAATATTGAATACAGTTTTCATTGTTCAAAGTATTTCATAAATGATTTTATAGCACAAAATTTTTGAAAAATATAAGAAGGTGCCAAAAATTCTTGTATCGTCAGAAATTTTCATCATGCTTTCAAAATTTTTATATCTGTAAATCTTTAATAATTTCAATGTAACTTAATCTTCTGTGAATAAAATTAATATGACGTATGAAATTTAAACCAACTTTTTTAAATATTCCTATTAATTTTAGATTTTTTGCGATAAGCAAGATTTGAAACCTCTGGTAAAACAAAATTATTATTATTTTTGTCTAGAAAATGTCAAAAATATTTCCACTCGCTCGTTGCTTCTTATTGTGAACGCACGGTTTCAACTATATTACTGTGCTCTTAATAAATACTTGACGTCAGATGGCATCATAGTATACTTCAGTTGAACAATGAACAGTAAAAAATTTTACTCTCAGCAAAGCAAATATTTAAAAGAAAGAAAAAAAAAATCTATGCTTTTAAATTATAAAATTCAAAATTTAATTTTGTAATATTAAATTCTGAAATTTCAATATTTTCTTCATTTAAAACAACATTATATGAAAGTTTTAAGCAAGTCGTTGGTTTGCTAGATCAAATTCTTTAATTTTTCTGGTGCAACTCTTACATATGTATGTTGAAGATGGTAAAAGGAACACGGAACGTATTAAGATTAGTGTTTGGTGTTTTAGTATTGTAAGAATTCTATCAAAGTCTATAATATTTTTTTGGCTATCACAAAACCAAAACACTTTTTGATCATTTTAGTAGAAACTCTTGGCTAAAAAAGCAGTAGAGTACTTAGGCACTGACGCTTGTTTTTGCATTTTGATGTCTTTCTTGACATTAAGTAAAATTTTATGTAGTTTTTGTATATCAAATTTTTTTTTTTTTTATTTTGAGTGCGCTATAATTATTAAAAAATGTTTGAGTAGCATTTTGTTGTAGTGATTTCAAATATGCTTAAATTTTTCTTAGACTTTTTATCTTTTAGAATCTTTTTTGCACAAAACTTCTATCACAAATTAAATTTTAGTTTATTTTTACAAATGCAAATGAAATATGCCTTTATTAAATACAACAATCAATTACTTATGTACATTGTAATTTAAAAATTATTTTAGTTTTGCCCTAGTGTTTTGTTTTTTAATTTTTTTTTGTATTTACCTACCCCAATACTTAAAATTTATTTATTTTTTAATAATTTTTTTTTGAAAAATTTTGCCTAATTTAATTTTAATAATAATTTTTTTTTTATTTTTGTCTATTTATTACAGGTTCCGGCGGCGGAAGCAGCAGCGGTGGTGGTTCGAGTAGCGGTGGAGCTAAAGGTGTTGTAAAAAAGCTCTTCAGTATGGGGAATAATGCTGCAACCGCTAATAAAAAAGTTGATGCTGCTGAAACAGTAAAAGAATTTCTTGAGCAGGCAAGAGAAGAATTTGAAGATAAATGGAAACGTAATCCAACAAATACAGCAAGTCTCGATGATTTTGAACGTATTAAAACATTGGGTACCGGTTCATTTGGACGTGTTATGATAGTACAACATAAACCGACAAAAGATTATTATGCTATGAAAATTTTGGATAAACAAAAAGTTGTTAAACTAAAACAAGTTGAGCATACATTAAATGAGAAACGAATTTTACAAGCAATCTCATTTCCATTTTTGGTCAGTTTACGTTATCATTTCAAAGATAATTCAAATTTATATATGGTATTGGAATATGTACCAGGTGGTGAAATGTTTTCACATTTAAGAAAAGTTGGTCGTTTTTCAGAGCCACATTCAAGATTTTATGCAGCGCAAATAGTTTTGGCATTCGAATATTTACATTATTTGGATTTAATTTATCGTGATTTAAAACCAGAAAATTTATTGATAGATTCACAAGGTTATTTAAAAGTAACTGATTTTGGTTTTGCAAAACGTGTTAAAGGGCGTACATGGACATTATGCGGTACACCAGAATATTTGGCACCAGAAATTATATTGAGTAAAGGTTATAATAAAGCAGTAGATTGGTGGGCATTGGGTGTATTGGTATATGAAATGGCTGCCGGTTATCCACCATTTTTTGCTGATCAACCTATACAAATATATGAAAAAATTGTATCTGGTAAAGTAAGGTTTCCATCACATTTTGGTTCAGATTTAAAAGATTTATTAAGAAATCTATTGCAAGTGGATTTAACAAAACGTTATGGTAATTTAAAAGCTGGTGTTAATGATATTAAGGGACATAAATGGTTTGCATCAACCGATTGGATTGCTATATTCCAAAGAAAAGTAGAAGCACCATTTATACCAAGATGTAAGGGTCCAGGAGATACTAGCAATTTTGATGATTATGAAGAAGAAGCGCTTAGAATTTCAAGTACAGAAAAATGCGCTAAAGAATTTGCTGAATTTTAAATAAAAAAAAAAACAAAATGAAAAACAACAAACAAAAACAAAATATATAAATTAAAATAAATAAAATAAAAAAAAAAAACTTTTTATTAATTTAAGAAATAAAATTAAACTTAAAAAAACAAAACTGTAAGAATAAAAATTTTTAAATTTAAATTAAAAAACAAAATAAAAAAAAGAAAAAAAAAAAGAAATAAAATAAATAAAATTAATGAAAATAAAAAATTAATATAAAAAAAAAACTCAGAATAAAGAAAAACAAAACAAAAAAAAATTTCAAAAAAATGCAAAAAAAGAAAAGTTCAATTTTCCGCTAAGAAATTTTTTCTGTTAATTAGATTTATACATATATAAAAATAAATATTTCATATATATATATGTAATGTATATATATATATACATGCATGCATACATATCTGTGTATATTTGTATGCATATATATATATATACATTTAAATATATAGTTAAAGTATATTTACGTAGTTAAATTCCATTTGTTATATGCATAAACATTTATTTTTTATTATTTCTCTATTTTTTTTTTAGTTATTTTAATTTTTATTTAATTATAAAATATATTTTTTTTTTGTTTTCATTCATATATACAAAACACAACACATTATTATCATTATTATTTTGCAATATTATTATTTACATAACTACCTTGTATTTTTAATATTTTTATTTTTACTTTATTTTTTGCTCTAGTTATATATTATTAAATGGTATTTAAGTTATAAAAAAAAAAAGAATAATAAAAAATCATTAATAAAATAATTTTGCTGTTTTTAGTTTTAAAATAAATGAAAAAAAATATATATAAATAAAAAAAATTAATAAAAAATTATATAAGTTTTATTTTTGCATTTTTCTAATAATATAAAATATAATATTGTATAATAAATGTATATTTATACATATACCCTCGGAATATATGAATGCTATAAAGATATGGTTATTGATCAAAGGTAAAAAAAAATAAAGCGTCAATAATACATACAATTAAGAAAAATTTAAAAAATAAAAAAGAAGAACAAAAACAATTTATTGTTCATATAATCTGACTGATTTAATTATATTTTAATTATATATATATATATATATCTTTCTTAAATAATACATAATTAAATATTAAAATATTGTTTTAAATTTAATTAAGTAGAAAATCATGTTATTAATTATTTTATTATTTTATATTTAAATATTAAAATTTTGTTCTAAATTCAATTTTGGAGATCATGTTAATTTTATTTGTTATTTTATTATATTATTATTTAATGTCAATAAATGTAACCATCACATTCTCTAAAATTCTAATTAAAATTAAGATCATAATAAATAAAATAAGAGTAATGATTTAAAAGAATTTTCTAAAGTACATATATGTACGTACACAAATAATATTATATAAGATGAAATTTTAATAATTGAAATTATTGTAAATTTTCCTAAAAAGTATGTAAAGAAATTTCGAATACATTGAAGAATTTTTTAATTAAAAGATATTTCTAATTCTTAATTATTCAATTTATTAAATTAAAATTTTACTTTTGTTATTTAAAAGAAAAAAATAATTCAATTGAAAAAAAAAATATATAAATAAACAAAATGTAATATTGTTGCAAAAATAACAAATTGATGATAAAATAACAATTGCGTTAAAAGAAAATTGTCATTATTAATTTTTACATTGTCGTATACGTACATTGTTTTTTTTACTTAAAATGAACAAATGGTGGAATTTTTCTTGTAAAATTTAATTTATTTACTTACATTTTTTCAAATTATTTTGTTAGCTTAAATGTATTTTAAAAAAATGCAAAATTTTTTGGAATTAAGCCATAGTAAATTTCAAATTTATACAATCTTGCAAATTGCATCATATAAAATCTATATAATAAAAAAATCATTGAAAAAAACACTATAAAATAAAAAATCTTAATCAAAAATATGTTGTGGAAAATACTAAATTGATTTTAGTTTAAAAAATTTTATTCAATTTTTGATTTTCAAATTAAATCTATGATATTTTTAACAAATTTCTCAATTGATTTTTTAAAATTTACTTTTCAAGTTTACATTTTTAAAATTTTTTTATTGAATTGCAATAAAATAAAAATTTTTTTTCGACTAATTTTAGAAGATATTTAATTTAATTAATTAAAAAATGAAATCTTGTTAAAATATTAGAAATTATAAAAAGAATAAATTTAATTATTTTAATTATTTAATGGAAATTATTTAATTTCTATATTATTTTTAGCATAAAATCAGTCAGATAAATATGAAAATATTACAAACTTGTTAATTTACTTATTATATTATTATTATGTTAATTTTGGATTTTTTTTTTTTTTACAAAATATAACAAAATTCATATATGTAGTAATTATACTGCACTTTTATCCTATATTACATAATAAATATTTTTATATAAGCAGAAAAAAAAAAAACAAAACGATGAAAATATTATTATTTTTAAATTTAATTTCAAATTTTTTACTTTTTCACTTTTGAATTCCTTTTTTTTTTTTAAACAAAATAAATATTTAAAATAAAAATTAAGAAAAATTAAAAAATTGTCTTTTTTTTTTTTTTTTTTTTTTTTTTTTGAATTGAAATTCTTTAAATTTAAAATTCTTAAAAATTAATTTCATGTGTTCCTGATAATTGAAAATAACAAACAAACAAGAAAAAAAAAAAATAAGTAAATTTACATAAATTTAAAATAGAACAGAAAAGAAGAATATAAGAAAAATAAAATAATATTTCAAAACATACATACATACATAAAAAATTAAATTTAAAAATATAAAAATAAAAATAATATAAATTCATAATATACATTAATATATATAAATATATAGATATAATACATAAGTACATAAAATATTTTGTAGCAAGAACAAAATGAAAAAAAAATATTTGAAATAAAATTTTTTTTTTGTTGTTTTCGCGAATTTTTCAAAATTGTTTCGTTATTTTGTTTTATATATATATATATATATATTTTAAAATTAAGTATTTCTTTCATATTTCTTTAATAAATATTTTAGTGGAGATCTCCTTTTTTTGTTTATAAATTTTTTGAAAATTACCCAAATCCCACATTTAAATATAACTTATAAAAAATTGCAAAATAAAATTTTGATAAAGGAAAAAAATATTAAATATAAAAATTAATTTTTAATAAAAATAATTTATGATAAATTATTATTTACTTATATTTTACTTTGCATTATTATAAAATTAAAATTAAAATTCTGTTATAAAAAAAAAAGTATAAAACCTAGTCATTTTGAAAAGAAATTAAAAGAAAAAGCAGAAATTAAAGAAATAAAATAAAAATATTTTTAATTTACAAAAACTAATAAACTCGTAATTTACAAAACTAAAAAAATTTATATATTTTTAAAATAAAAATTTTAAAATATTTTCAATTTCAAATTATGTAATTTTTGGAGTCATGTTTTTTCATGTTAAGTTATTTTTAAATATTAATTAAAAATTAATAATATTGTGCAAAAATTTAATGAATAATTTAATAAAAAAAAATTTTGTTAAAAAAAAAACTATTTTGATCTTGTTGTTTTTTTTTTCACATAGATGAGATCTCCAAATTAAGTATGAAATTAAAATGATGTTAAATTTAATTTTTATTTTAATTTTTAAAATTTTGTTTTACGTGATTAATGGAATTATTGAAAAATTTAAATTTGTATTTTGTTTTATTTATAACATTCTTTTTTAATAATTTTAAAATTTTTCTGAATTTTTACTGAATATATGCATTTTTTCTATTTCAATAAATAATTCAGAAATTCTATTATTGTTTAATAATTTTGAAAATGTATAAATTATGTTTTATTCCAAAATTTTAGAAATTTTAATTAAAGAAGGTGAATAAGGCATATTGGATTGTTAAAATCGAACAAAATATAAGAAATTTGAAGATTTCCGTATTAAAAAAATTTTATTTAAACAAAATTACTTTAAGAATTTTTTTATATTAAAATTATATTAATTATATTAAAATTTAAATTTCTTATTTTATAAATTTTTTTATCAAAAATTTTTTATTATTATTAATTGTACAAAAAATTATTCTTTTCAATTTTTTTTTTTAGAAAATTTGAATTCAAATTAAATAAATTTCAAATTAAATTAAAGAAAAGTAATTAAATTTACAAAACCTTAAAATTTTTTTCAAATTTCTATATTAGGTCCTTAAAGCACCCTATATTGCCGACTCAATCACGTAAAACAGAATAAGAAAATTGATTCATTATTCAAAGAATAATAATTTTTGAATACTTAACAATAATTTAATCCAAATTTTTTTTTTTTGTATTGCAATTCAATTATAATATTATTTAAATATTTTAATGTCCTTAATTTATTTAGAAATCCTTTTCCAATTATAATTTCATTTCCTTTACCATTTCCTATGATATTTTTCTTTTCATTGTTTATCGTTAATTTTTAATTTATCTAATTACATAATTTTAAATTTAGTCATTAAAAATGAATTTAAAAATAAAAAAAAAAACTAATAATAATACAAAAAAAAAAACAAAAAACAAAAAAAAAAGCAATGTGTCTATAAAATATTAAAAATTGCTTTGATGAAATTTCAAAAACTAAAATACCTATATATTAAATCTAAAAAACAAAACAAAAAAAAAAAAAACAAAAAAAAGGTAAAAAAACAAACAAATATACATACAGTAAATTATTTAAAAAAAATAAAAATAGTAAACTAAAAATTTTATTAGAAAGTTTTGTAAAAAATAAAAATCAAGAAAAAACAAATTAGAAATACAAAAATGAATAAAAAAAAAGAAAAGTAAGAAAATATAAAAAAATTATATTATAAAAAAAAAAAATATAAGTAAAAAGTCATAAAATTAGAATCCAAATTTAAAATAAAAAAAACAAAAAAAAAAAAAAAATGAAAAGTTTTAAATGTAAAATTTTAGCTAAATTTGTTAAATTTAAAAAAAAAAAATGAAAAAAAGGAAATATGAAATAAACAAAACAAACAAAACAAAAAAGAATATAAAAATTATATTTGTAAAATTATGAAAAAGAAAAAAAAAATCACTACATTGGATAGTTGAATTTTGAATAAAGAAAACAAAACAAAAAAAAAACAACAAAATTTTAGCGCATTTTTTAGTACAATAAACAAAAAATTTTATTTCAGTAGCAAATTGCCTTGCACACATACATTTAAGAAGTGGGTCAGTATATTTGAGTCAACCTATTTTTCAATACTTATTCATCCGTTAATAAAGAGGATTTTCGAAATTTTAGTTTTAATTTAGAACCTTAAGACAAGGCATTTTGTTCTATAAATCTCTATTACAAAATTAGCAAAAAGTTCAAAAATTGTAGCACGCTTAAAGTTGTAAAATATTTTTAAAGAGTAACAGAATTTTCCGAAATTCAATTCTAATTAAGGTTTCACCATAAAACACGCTTGAATAAATTCAAACTGATAAATCTGCATAAATAGCATGTTCAAATTTTTTTTTTTTTTTTTTTTTCCTTTGTTCACTCCTAGAAGGAGCATAGGGCTAGTGCATGATTTCTCATCATGTCTTGTTCAAATAGCACATGGCAATTTAAGTAAAGGAGTTTTTAAATTATTATATTTATAAATTAGAAGACCATAATAGAAAAATGTTGAATATTGAAGAATTACTGGAGTGTGTTAAAAATCTACAATAATTAAATACTATTAATAAATAAACATAAAATATTAGCAACTACTCGTATAACATTTAATAAAAAAAAATTACCAAGATCGAAAATGAAAACTGACATTTTAAAGTTCAAAATTTAGTAATATTTTTACGATATTAGAAATATTAGGAGCTGAGGCTAGATTAATTATTGGAAGATATTAATTTCCAGGAATCCTTACTTGCTCTAACGAAAGATAAATATTGAAATAATTATATATGAGCCAGTACTATTCTAAATAATGCCTCTTTTTACGTAAAAAAACATAATGAATTTTATCATTCTATGTGAAATTTTCATTTCTTATAAAATTTGTAATTGATTGTTTTATGAAAATTCACAAAATATTGTTGTATAATTAGACTGTCTAGCTTAAAATAAAACAAATAAGAGTACCATTATTCCAGATGCGTAAAGGGCTACATTCAAAGGATTAAGGATATTTTAATTTGTAAGAGCATTTCATTTATTTTTATACGATCATTTACATTAGATATGGTAATTAATAAATAACTACAAAAGATACATTTGCGTAAATTATTTTATATATGTTTAATTGAATAACTAAGAGGACAAATGAAACTTGTATAAATTAAGTGAAGTCAATATATTTGAAAACCGCCTCTGCTCTGTCATAACAACTAAAACATTGCGTATACTTTATAATTTTACATTTAATACTATTACTGAAATCTAAAAACCTATATTAATATTACATATAAAATGTTTTAAATTTAATTGTATGTATTGTGCATATACAAATGTGTATAATGTGTTATATGCTTGTATACCAGTTACAGAATATTCTTTTTAGCAAATATATAAAATTTGTTGTTATTATTCTAATATAAAAGTCTAGTCAATGGAATTCTAAATTGCTGTTAATGTATTTTTTTTTTTTATTTATTTTTCGTAATAATTTAAATTGTATAGAGGCGACAAATTTGATTTTAATAATCTGTCATTCATTTAATATGTCAATGTACTTTGGATATTTTCGAATATCATTCCATACTTAAAAAATTTAGAATGTAGGTATGACATATTACGTAATGTGTATACGCAGCAGACAAAATATAAAAATAAATATTTTGGTATCCGTAGACAAATTTTAGAAAAAAAAAAATTTAAATAAAAATAAAATATTTAAAATTAGCTATTAATTTTTGGATTTACTTTGTGTTTGTGTTATTATTATTGTAAAGTAAGTATGTGTGCGGCTTAACAGTAAGTAGTTTAGTGTAATTTTGTGAAAATCTAAATACTTTTATTACGTTTTTTGTAAGGAACAAATTATTGTGTCAACGTTACTTATGCTATTCTAAATGTCCTTTAGAAATTCTTTGCTATTGCCTATTGTGAATAAATGTTCCAGCGAACCGGTTGTTCAGCTGGAAATAAAAATTAGATAATGTTTTGTGGTCACAAATCGTATTAAACTGTTATATTGCGTATTGATGCGTGACGTCTCTTAATTTTCTCATCTGCAATATATTCTGAGTGAAAGAAGTAAATATCCTTTTTGTGTTCTCTCCAAAAATTCACAAACTGTCGTTTAGTATATTTTCTTCCTAATTTTCACAATAGAAAAGAAAATATTCACAATTAAACAAATTCACATTAATAACATCAGTTATTTATTACAGTTTTTTGTGTTTTTTTCTTTTTCATAACATTAAAATTAACGGTTATATTTTATTAAAACAAAAATAATTCCATTTATTTCAATTTAATACAACAATAATTATTATCCTGATTTTGTTGGTAAAGTTATTGGAGGAATTGTCATTGGAGGTATTGTCATTGGTGGCATTGTTATTGGTGGTATAGTCATAGGTATTGACGGTAAAGTTAATGGTATTGATGGTAAAGATATTGAGGGTAAGGATATTGGTGGTAAGGACATTGGTGGTAAGGATACTGGTGGCAAAGACATTGCTGGTAAGGGTAAAGACAAAGCTGGTAAAGTCATAGGTACAGTTGGTGGAAAAGTTGGTATTGGTGGTATTGTTGGTGGAAAAGTTGGAATTGGTGGTATTGTTGGTGGAAAAGTTGGTATAGGTGGCATTGTCATAGGTGGTATAGTCATTCCTGAACCTTTCGATGGTATTGTAATACAACTATTAAATATACAAGTAGTAAATGATGGTGGATTTGGTGGGGCTGGTGCTGTCGGTGTTGTTGTTCCAGGTGTAACAGGTGATGTCGTTGGTGGTGATGTCGTTGGTGGTGATGTTGTTGGTGATGTAGCTGGTGATGTAGGTGTTGTAGGTACTGTTGTTGGTACAGTGGTTTGAGCAGAAGCCTTAAAGAAATATCAAATATTATGAAATTTTCGCATTTATATATTAAATTATATTGTTAACAATATTTTCTTACATAATGGACTATTAAAATAATTAAAAATAATAAATTTATTAAAAATTTCATTTTATAAAATTAAAATTAATTTTTATTCTTAAAAATTGTAGTATTCAATTCGAATGATTGAATTGAAATGTTTTGAAAATTTTTCAGTTTTAAAAAATGTTATATTGAATTTTATTAGAATTTTTTGTTTTTGAGTTCTTATAGGTCATTGATCGGTACTAATGTAACAGTAATATTTGTTTAAGTGTTCTTGTAATCGAAAAATAGTTAATAATTTGTATAATAGTTAATATTTGTACTAGTATAGGGGCTTGTGCTTCACATTTTATAAGACAAATATTTTTTCAAGCATTAAATTCAACTAATTTCTAAATTACATAACAATAATATTTCAATGAAATAAAAAAGTTCAGCAATTCTTCTGCATAAAATAAGAAATTGATATTGCTCCTCTTCTGCTTACTTTTCTGCTTCTCGATGAGAGAAAAATACGTAAGTGTTGTAAGAAATTTGGAAATGAGAAGAATTTTTTCTAAATTATTAATCACGTTTTTCTTTCAGAATTGGAAATATTCATGAGAATTTGAAATATTCCGTTATATTGCCTTATAATATGACAATTAATGTGCAAATTTTTCGAAATTTTGACATAATACCTATATTGAGAAGAGTTTAGAAGTTTAATTCATAAGTCTAATTTGATTGTTATTGAATGAACTGAGAATTGAAAATGAGAATTTTAATTCAACATTCTTCCTATAAAATAAAATTGAGATAAATAATGAATTAGATAAATTAGAGTAATAGTAACATAAAAAATGAGTAATTAGATTATTCTTAGAAGTGATAATGATTAGAAGTGTTGCCAATACTGTATAAAATCTGTAATAAATTGACTCATATAAATTAAAATATTATTCAATACTGTATATGAATCATTTACAAAGATTTAATATTACAGAATGATACTCGTATTGCCAGGATATCTTTATGAGCCTGTATGTAAATAAATTCAAGGTCTATATCAATTATTTAAATATTTATGCATTAATTTTTCAAGGTTATTTAAATTTTAGTAGTTATAAAATTTATAATGTGGGACTAATAAAATTTCCTTTTATTGTGAGATTTGTATTTACATATGTGAGCAATATTTGGCGATTCTGTTTAAAATCTACCACCAATAATAAGTCCAATTAAACTTGAATTTTAGTCAAAATATAGAAATAATAGTATATATACATAAGAATATGTATATGTGTATTTATAACAGTTTATTTCAAGGATATTTTATTAAAGAATTTAAAAATCAATCTGGCATTCTCTTATGCCACATGGAGACATACTGAGAGAGAAAGAGAGAGAGACAATGAAGTCATACTATAAAAATTGAATTTTCTTAATCCTATATAATGTGATGAAGAATTTAATTTATGATATAAAAATTTTTTTTTATATATTTTGCTTTTAATATATATATTAAATAATATTATTGTCATAATATACAAATATGTTATACATATGTATGTATGTATTTGAAAATCCTTGTAATATTCTGTATTCGTTTCGGATACAAATGAGAATGAGGTCATATTTTTATATTTATTTATTTAATTTTTTTTTTTTTTAAATTACAAATTCTATTTATAGTTATTCAAGAAAAATGTCTCTCTTATTATTGCTTTTATTTTCTAATTTATAATTAGATTTTTCTTTTTTTTTTTGCTTCTATTGTAATAATGTAGTGTTCGACATGAGGCGTAAATATTTTTAAACCGACATTGGAATTTTTTTTTTTTGTTTTTATTTTATTTTATTCATTTAATTAAATTCCTTTTTCATTTAAAACCCAATAGAAGAGTATAACGTTATCCTCAAGAAAATTTTACTAATAGACAGTGTAATATAAATGAATATTTTATGTTCTTTCGATTTTATTACTATGAGAAATGGGATTGTGTTGCTGAAATTGTAACTCCTCCGATTATTGGAACATTCATAGTAACACTAGCATCGAATGTGAGTTACCAAGACAATTAATAATTTTCAAATTCTATATGTCGAGTATTCTAGGTTGGTTTTCTTAGTTCGCCGGTTTTGAGTGAGAGTCGTTTTTGATAGCTCAATAGCATGTCATTGATGGGAGTCACTTAGAGAATACTATTATCTACGCATATCATTAAATTTATGAGTTAGAAAAAGTAAGTTCTTACTTATACATAAAAAGTATAATTTAGCGATCTATTAATATATACATAATAATTACGAACAAAACGAAAATTCGTTGAACGGGGAAATAACGCTTGTACTGAATCAGGGAAATTGTCTAACGTCACATTTAAAATCGGTGAACAAGAAAATCTCGCCTTGATACTTGCCCGATATATATATATATGATTTGAAAAAGTCAAATAATTTCAGCATAATTTTTTTTTTCGAAAACTTTTAAAAAATTTTTCATATTACTTTTACTCTTAATATAAAACCATGGATATATGAGAACTAGGACTATGATTACCGCTTGATTAATATTGATGATGACGTTGCCTTTATATGAAACTGTTATATGAGAAAAAGCATTTTTTATTGTGAATGATGATTAGTAGGAAATAAAAATTTAATTGTGTGTTTAAATATTTTATTTGTATTTCTTTATAAATATATTTAGTATGCTAATAAATAATTTTTATTTACTTATATAAGAGTTCGCAAAAAAAAAAAATCTAGATGAAATGAAAAATATACATTAATTTTCTACTATTTAGTTAAAGAAATTCTTAAAATGATATCTAAAATTCTATAAATTTGGTTGAATGTTTTATTAAATGAAAATGAAATTTGAATTAAAAATAAAAATATCGAAATAATTCACTAATAAGCATAAGTTAATTGTGATTTTCCAATTGGATTCCATTTTATAAAAATTTACATATATTTTTCAAAATAGAATCAGTTATATTGGATTGAAAGAACGGTTGGCGGGGGGAGCTTATAAGAGTGCGAATTTCGTTCTTATATTAGTTTTTTCAAAAGAATTTCAATAGAAATTAATTAAATTTACTTGATAATTTGTTGTACAAAGAATTCGGAAATAAAATTAAATAAAATTTTGAATTGTGGAAACAATAATTCGTATAACAGTTATATACAAAAATGAATATGATAGTCATTTTATGGCTCTCTCAAGGAAAAGAGTCATGACTCAGTTATGAGTAAAACGGTCATTTATTTATTTTGTATAATGCATTTTGAGTGAGAGAAACTATTTAATATTAATCATCATAATATGCTCTTTTCAAAAATATGAGCGAGTAAAATTCTCGAATTTGAAAAGTTTATTTGACTTATCGAATATTCGGCATGATTTTTAAAGGAAAATTGAAAAATTTAATTGAAAAAGTGATAAAATTTTGAGATATAGAATAATCAGTAATTTATAAATGAGTTTATGATAACATCACAGTTTTAATGACTGTCAACTCTCACGTCTAATGATTTCTTACTATTCTAACAAATCCAGTACTAATTCGGATGAAATTTTTAATAATTTGATTCTATATTTCTGCACATTTATAACACATATATTAACTTTTGATTTCAATGGATAATTTATACTATACTATACTAGAGAATAATAAAATGCAAGTCTGCAAACGCATATTAATTCCACGATATACATATATATGTATACAAAATAAAGTTTAAACTAATTTATTCAGAAATACTTTGCGTGTCACAATAAAATAAACTCGGTAACTTCCTCTATACAATATTTTTAAATTATTTTATTGCCTATAATATTAAATTTTAGTGCAATTTTCATTCAATAATTTAATATATGTATATGTATAAATGGGCTTATATGGTACGTATATAGCCCCACATTTCTTATAATGGTATCCGGAAAATAATGATTAATTTATTTCCTTTAATAATTCAAGATTTATTGTATAAATGTATATTATAATGGTTTGTGAGAGGAAAATCAAAAAAATCGTTTGTTTTCTCTCTTCTTTCTCTTTCGGATATAAGGGCCTTAAATCCTTGAAATATTTAAGATTAAAATTTAACAAAAATCTTTTAAATGTCTTATCTATTTTTCCGTCATTTTTTTGGAAACATTAATCATTCCTATTTGATTGCTGGAACAGAAAAAAAAAATAGAATTTTTTTTTTTTAAATAGAAATTTTCAATTTTAATTGTCTATATATAATAGTGAAATTTTTTCATCTCTTTTCCACTTATTTAATTTTTAAATTATTACGATTACAATGTAATTAACTTTTCCTATATATTTATATATATATATTATGTACACTTAAATAACAAATTTTATATTCTTCGTGAGAAATATATTTTAAAACTGTGATGTCATTCTTATCTCATCAATCATTTGCTCTGTTATTTTCTAAATTAGAAAATAGCCTCTCAATTTTTTTCTAAAATATATATTTAAGAGAACACAAAAAAGAAACTATTTTTTTCCAATTCATTTTGTTATTTCTGTATTAATAATAAAGTTCGGTCAAACCAATGGTTTGTATTGTAGCACTTTTCCCTTCAACAAGTGAAAATTCTGCTTTTAAATACAGTCTACGAGTATGGATACCTATCACACTATTAAAATTATTTTCATTCATATACAAAACTATTTCTAGGATTGCATATATTTAGGATGACGCATATATGCAGTCTTTGAAATAAAGCAAAAATTAATATAAAGAGGGGTTAACATAATGCTCGATTTAAAGGGTTATTTGTGTGAGTTAAGAAAAATAATTATATTTTTTAATGTAATGGAAATTACCGTTAACTTTTTGCGTTTATAGAAATTTGAAAAAGCTTGCGGTTTCGGAAATATAAGGTGTCAAAAATTCAAATTTTACAAATTTCAAGAGGCGATAACTTGAGAGGAGGTGGAGATGGAAAAAAAT